GGTACAGGGCAAAAAAGATATTTACCACCTTCTCTGTTCCAGTTCTTTCCAGCCCACAACATCAACCTTGTCAGGCATTTCAGGGGTTCTTGAAATCTGCAGCTACAGCCCTCAGTTGTATGCCCAGTCTTGGCTCCACTAAGAAACACACCAGCTGTTTGACCCTGGACCTCTGTGCCTCTTTTTCTTCATCTACAGGATGAAGGACAATATTCACTTGGTAGAGCTTTTGTGAGAATTTTTTTAAATAACATATGCAAAGGGTCTAGCACAGTGCCTGGCGCACACTGAGCACTCAATCAGCACGCTTTCTGTGTGTGATGGTGATGGCACAAGTCCTGTCCAGGGGCCTGGGGCCAAGAGGTGAGGGTCAGTGTATGGGTCAGGAGCAGGGAGGTATTCTCTACATCTTCTCCTTCTTACTAAACCATACAATTGTGAAAGGCGGGGTCAGCACCATGTTTATCTTTATACTCTCCACAGTCTACCCTGACCTTGACACATAGTACTATATCATTTTGATCATGGCTGGCTCAGCAGTTTAAGGAATAGCATACCATTGGGTTAAGTCAGGAGACTCCACTTCTAACTCCAGCATTGCCAATAACATGCAATGTGACTTGCAGAAAATTCTCTTGGAGACACATTGTTGAGCATCTGCTATGTGGTGGGCACAGCAGCTGCAGGGGTACAGTACTTAAGACAGACATGGTCCTTGCCTTCATGGAACTCACAGTCTAATGGTAAAGATAGACTTCACACAATGATCACACAGTTAGTTAATTACAGTTGTGATAAAAACTATGAGAGTATATACAGAAGGACCTAAGGGTGTTTGGGGAGAAAACTCAGGGAAGGCTTTTCTGAGAAGCTGACATTTGAACAGCGACCTGAAGGATGAATTAGTTAGCCAGGCGTCACGGAGATGATCAGGAGACAGTGCTGCAGGTGTATGTGGACAGCCCAGTGTGGAAGGGAGCACAGCACACTGTCGGACTATAAAAGGCCGGTATGACTGAGCTTAGAAAATAGAGAGAGGGGCATCAGATGATCCCGGAGCAGTAGGCAAGGGGCCAGGCCATGCAGCAGCATTTGGACCTTTAATCTAAGAGCAATGGGGAGCAGTGATGTGCCAAGAGGGGCCACAGTGAGAGCGAATTGTCCTGGGAGTAGGAAATAAGGAGTGCATTGTCGATAGGGAATTGAAAGACAATGATAAAACAACTTTTATCTTCACCATGCACTGGCCATGCTAACTACATCAATCAGTAGCGTGCTGGTAAATGTTTAACAACTGGTTCTCTGGGGAAAATAAAGATGTATGCATATATATACATGTATATACGTATTATAAATGTTACTGATATAAACACTATGTAGCACACAGTTTACAAATAATAATAAAATATACAAATACTCTTTACTGTAGACTCCATATAGTTGATGGATTCTCACAAAATGCTTTTGATTTTTGCTACAAGCTTCTATCTGTAGCCAACCGATGCTTGTAATTCAACTATGATTTGACAAATGGAACTGTATCTCAATCCGCTCTTTGCCCAATAAATTTATTTTCATTAAATCTGATATGTGATCTCAAACAATTTCTCACCCTTGCACAAATTAAACCCATTAAACTAAAATCTTTTAGTTTCAGAACTAAGCACAACACAATTTTAAGTTTAATCTGCATTATTAACATTCTCTCCACCACTTTCTTAAGTCTAGAGACAATCAGCAAAACAACAAATCAAGCCTCAATTCATAATGCTTGCCAACTTCCATGGTGTAAATACTCCCACAGGGGCCGATTGCAATCTACCAACGTGAGATCAGTGAACGTGGGTTAGGAAACACGTGCACAGTAGCACAGCATTACACGTAGCTGCGGAAATGGAAAGAAGGCATTTACTTGATAGACCTTTAGCAAGAGGAATCCTGGTGATTTGTTAGACGCCAAGGATGAAGGCAGAGTTCGGGAACTGCTAAAGGAGTGGTGGTGCCATCACTAGCACAGGGAGACCCGACGAGAAGCAGGTAGGGACAGCACGCGTTCCATCTGTATGTGTTCCAGTTGAGGCGCTTGTGACAGAACCAAGTGGAGAAGCTGAACAGGGTTTGGAGCTCAGAGAAGTACGGACGGAAGTTGTAAATCTGGGATATATTGATTGAAATGCTGGCAGTGGATTGAATCATGCAGGGAAAAATTGTGGAGAGAAAAGGGCTGAGACCTTAAAAATACGTTATTCGGAGGTCATCAAGAATCAGATAAGCAAGCCAAGGATACTGGCGAAAAACAGGAGTGCAGAGCCCTGCTATCACCAAAAGAAGTAGGTATTTTAAGGAGGAAGATGAATTTTGCTGAGAGATCAAGTAAAATGAGGAAGGAGATTGTCCTTTGGATTTAGTGATTGTGGGTGTCATTGGTGACTATACAAAAGCAGTTTCAGTGGCGTATGGAAACCAAGAAGTGAATGGGAGTTGAGAAACTAGGCAAGTGGAGACAGGCAGCTCTTTCAACAACTTCAGCTGCGGGGAGTAGGAGAGAGGCAGGGTGGCAGCGGGTACGCGGAGTAGAGCAAGGCTTGGGACTGAGCCAATCCTGACGGCACGGATCCAGTCAAGAGGGAAAGACTGATCTTAGGCCGGACTCTGTGATACTGGAAAGGGAGGGGTGTGTGAAATCCCTAGTTTAGGAGTGGATCTGTAGGTTTGGCTGTGAAAAGTGGGAAAGTTTCTTTTTCTGAAGCAGGAGACAAAGTAATCTACCAAGAAAGGGGTTATGGCGGGCGGACTGGCGATCTGACTGGGAGCCGAAGTCTAGGACAAAGTGACTTGGTGACGGGACGGTGGGTGGCGGCTCTGGCCAGGCGAAGCGCGACAGCAGGGTCCGTGGGTCAGCAGGAGAATGAAGACCTGAGTCGTGGAAGTGGATCTGCTAAAAACAAAAGCCGGAGCCGCAGGGCCTTGGACGGAAGAACGCAGTTGCAGTTCTGTTCCGAGAGGCAGAAGGAGGGGACACACATGGGAAACAACGCCTCCCAGACAGGAAGGAGTCCACGGCCCGGCTGCTGTGATCAGCTCCTTCCCTGCAGACACGCCGCAGGGCCTCCGCCGACAGCGCGAGAAGCGCGAGACGGGCCGGCGGGCCGCAGGAGGGAGGACGCGGCCGCGGCGGGCTCGCAGGGCTGGCGC